ATTATAATTAAAGACCACGTGACGACGCGGCCACGAGTCGCGCTTGCAGTGCTCTTAGACGCACTCTGAAGGACAGTGAATTATCACTGTCGCGCTATCCGAAACAATGATTCGTGCTCTGGCATGCCTGGCACAATATAGGCCTGTTTTTCTCGGCCAGGGGGAGCGAGCGCGCCAAGTATACACGCCCCTGTAACGGTTGCATTCAGCATAAAGGCCGGTTCACACACACACACAGCACGGCGCCACATTCGCGCTGGAAAACGGCGCTGATGCAGCTCGGACTTGCACCTGACTTATCGCCGATGTGGTTACGCAGTGGTAGGGTTCGGTAGGTATAGTCTGAACAATATTTGGAAATACAAATATTGAGATACAGTACAAAGAGAGCTAAAAATACTTGCATTTAAATATATTTATAAAGATGTATCGTGAAACGTCAGAAATACATTCGAAAACAACGAAAGCAACGAAAGTATTTGGAAATACAAACACAGGAGTACTATAATACATTGTCCATACAAAACCATTATTTCAAATATTTCTTCACTGCGTAGAACTATTTCTTTGCACTCAATCATGTATGCAGAGGACCAAAAATTCTTACAACCTCCAACACTCTATAAGCATATGATCCAAATTGTAAGATCACTTTTTAAGCTAACACATAACTACTCCCTGTGAGATACAGCCAGGCGTTTTACCTCGACGTCTTTTCGCTCCAATTAAATTGACAACAGCTTTAGCAACTCGCATTTTTCATTGTAGTAAGGGAAGCAACTTGTTTGTTTTTCACCATGACTCGAGCGCGGGTTTCTTTATGCATCTGTTATCCTAGTGAGGCAGAATCACAAATACCCCTAAATTATTTTTGTGTCCTCTCAAATCACCTCGATAAGTCACCGGTATTTTGACCAACCCTGGTGCCTCTTTCAGCCTTAGTCTTACGACGTGCAAGGAATGAAGATCAGGTAAACCGTAATGTTTTATCCCTCAAGCGCGCCGGCTACGCCGTGAAATATCGAATACACACGAATAATCGACCACCTAAGTCAGAGAATTCATTTGAACTCATGTGCAGAATAGAAAAGGGGCAGTATGGTCAGAGACGAGACGTCCCAGATTAAACTTGTTCTTTAGCTTCCGTGTAGAGGTCAACGATTCCACGATAATTGTAACGAAATACATCGGCCCCTAATGGTGCTGCGATACCAGGAAAACACCCGAAAATGTCTTTCTGTGAAGAAATACAGAATACAGTTAACCGTTCGTGTTGCGATTAAGAAATAGAAATATAAAATGTACATTTAAAATACTATCGCGATGCATCTGCGTCACGATACTTCCCAACTCTGCACTGTGATGCACTTGACTTATCGCCCAAGTGTCGAAGTGGTGAGCGGCGAAACTGAGCCGATGCATCGACGCTAATCCAAAAAACTCGGCTCAGCATCAGCGACCTATCGGTGTCTTTATCGCCGCCGATACGGTGCTGCGCTGTACGTGTGAAGAGGGATTCAGTTCGGGGTCACACTGCTCACACATTATACAAAAGACAGTCTGCGCACAGAGTCGAACGGGGGTCACCGCGAGATCCGTTCTTCGAATGCCCCATGATGAGTTCAAGCAGAAACCTTGGCACATGGCATTCGAACCCCAGACATTGCGGTGACTTGTGTTTCCCACGGTCCACTACAAGTGTGAGTCGGCATCTGTTCAAGTACAGTAAGAGAGTGTCTGAAAGAATTGAAAATATTTAAATAAACGAAATGAAAACGCAACACGCCATGCCCTATCAAAGCGATAAGGGTGTTGTTCTTTTAGCTTTTCTTGTTTTTGTTGTATTGTTGTCTTTTTTCGGTTGCGCAATGATGCGTTCAAGTTTACAGTAAAATTACTGTAAAATGCAAGATGTTTTGCCATTTTGATAAGATATTCTCAAGAATAAGTGCAGACAAAGATTAAAACAGAACGAACTCGAAAATGTTTTCCAGGCTGCAAAGGATAGGCAACAAATTTCTTGTCTCTTTACTAATTTTGAAATTTGTAACATCAATGCCCTAGATTCGGCTCAAAGTAACCGAGCTACACTTGACGCCGTAGCTCAAACGTTTAATATGGAGCTCAAGAACAAATGGCACATTGTTGCCTCAAGCAACGTAACAGTTCACCACAGCACAAGGTCCCAGGACGCAACAGAGTACAATCCTACGTACTTAATGGAGCGGAGGAGGCGAGGCGTTCGTTACAAGACAATTCGTAAAAGGGAAACTCGTAGCAGGGCTATTGGTCACAGGGGAATTTGTCATAGGACAGTTCGTCGCTGGGTCAACCAGTCGAACACCAAAAAAAGGTGGCATGCGAAAGGGCTGTAATTTGGGCGAGTTGGTATGATAACATGGAACGTGTATGTGTAAAGATGAGGTTTGAAAGAGAAATGTTTTCGCACACTTTACGGTTTTGGAGCTCTCAGTCACTTTTGTTGTCTGGGTTTTCAGTTAAACCCTGTAAAGGAATATATTTGGTCTGGTTTCCAAAATTTGCGAATAAAAAAAGGACCTGATGGACATTTTAACTCATAAAAATGTTTGCCCGATGGACATTTTGACTTGATGGAAATTTTGAACCTATTGGATATTTCGTCTCGATGTTGATTTCGACACGCGTCTCACGTTACCTGTTGGACATTTGGACCTGATAGACATTTCGTTCCCATGGACATTCTGACCAGAAGCCCGTCCCACGTAACCTATAAGACATTTTGACCCGATGAGCATTTCGTCACGATTTACATATTGACCAGAAGCCGTCAAACTCGTTAGGAACGCGGAACGCCGGCGTTGGGCGTTTGGCGTTTGCGTTCGAAAGCGTTAGAAAGTTGAGTGGAGGCGAAGGCGAAGGCAGAGTTTTATCTCCCCTGCGTTCGTAGAACGCGCGCCACGCCGGCATCTGGCGTTTTGCTCTCGCATTCGAGCGCGTTCCACGAGTGCGGAGGAGACAAAGGCAATAAAAATTCAATGAGATCCAACACGAGTGGTTTCTGCAGCCAATTTTCTATTCGAAATATAAAACAAACACTTAGGTCTACCTCGTATTCAATTGAATCAAAGCTCAGCATTCTGACGACCCCACGCGCTCTCGTCTCCTGTTTTCGTCAGTTACTCGACGAATATATACTATTCTTGCAGATTTCTCCGAGTGCGGTGTAGGCTTTTATTATATATATAAATACCTTTTTTTCATTTGCCTCGTTGGGTCGTTTCGCTCTATAGTGATCACCGCCCCATCGGTCTGTGATTCGCTCGTCTTCCAAGGAGTGACACAACACAGCGAGGAATTAACGAATGGGTTTACTGTGCTTCCCGATTTCCCGTCCTCGAGAGCCGGCACTCCGGGCCCGCCCACCCTGGTCGTCGCCTGTCGTTCAGAGCTCGCGATCGGAGTCCATGTCCAGGCCTGCGAATCGTGGTTCCCACGCCAGGGCTCGCTGCGTCGGCTAGCTGTTCCTGACCATCATAGCCTTAGTCTCGCTACGGAACCATTCAGGGATCCTCATGGCCAAGGCCGGAATGTCCAGGGCTCGCCGTTCCCGCCTGTCTTGGTCCGAACTTCGCTGGTGGACCGTTCCGGGGATCGCCATGGGCCAGACCGGCTGCATCTTTCTGCCGGGCCCCTTCCTCGCGCAGCACGCCCTGTCTAGCTCCAGTTCGGCTTCCACGGCCAACTGCTTGTCACACGCCCTCCACCCAGTCCTGTTCCCCACTCGTCTCGCGCAGCCTTTACCACAACCTTCTTCGGCCCTAGCTTTAAATGACACTATTTGTGTGCGCAAAAGACAATTAACCTTTATATGTCCAGCCTTTTCGTCCTCTTTCTGCGTGCGGATAAGCAATTCTCTGGTCGAAGCGAAGAACACACTGGCCACATTCGCGTCTCGGCATTTCATGGTCGTATTGGAACGCGGCTTTAGCGATAGAAGTTGCCGAACGGTACCTTCCAACTCTCCCCAGTATACATAAAGATACGGCATCGCAGTCAACATATAACGTCGGCGTTCGGCTCAAAACGTAAACGTCAACCGGAGTGTAATACGGCGTGCACTTTCGACTGCTCCTTGCTCAGCTTCAGCGTTTGTCCCCCCCCCCCCCCCCCCCCCCCACCCGAAAGCGCCCGCGCGCTTTTGCTTTCCTCTGACGTCAACTAGTGAGGGGGGGCGCCTGGGTCCGTCGTCACCCCGCGTTTCCCGTGGGTTGCGTGCTCTCTTTGTGTTCCGATGCGCCGAAGACGTATTTTAGAACACTCCCTCGACGTACGCCGACACTGGAGCTCGTAAAAAATTGGTCATCTTACAATAATCTGAGCGAAATATTAGATGTCTCATGTCGCCCGTCGACGCGAATGACTGACGTCATCATGATACCGTAGTTACAGCCATATCCGACGCTCGTACTTAGCTCATGAAGTCTGGTTATGAGGACACCTTCCGCAGAAAACACTAAATATCCAGTTGGTCACCGATAGCAACGTATTTAAAGAACTAAGGGGGAGATTTCGTGGGAAACCTACAGTATTCGTTTTACGTTAGTAGATGAATAAGGACGATCACGCAAATGCATGTAGGTAATATAATGAAGGGCCATGATTCCCAAAAAGCATGTAGATCAAATATTTAGAAAAAAAACGTTTCGCGACCCTTTCATATGAAGAGTGTGATATGAATAAAAATGGAGCACGGTTTAGCGGTTTCGTGAATTTGAAGCACTTCAAATAAATGTTTTTATTTACGGTATTTTTTATTATTATTGTTATTCATATTATTATTGATATTTTATTAGTATCATTACCTTTAACATTGGTTCATACCCCAACTTTAATATAAAGTACACGTCTCATTAAACCAATCACGCGGTAAATGTCACACTATTCCTCATGAACGAATTTACCCGTCCAAGTGTTCAAATCTTAAATCACAAGCAAATCCTACGTTATTTTCTTTTCAGATTTTATTGACGCCGACTGTCAAGTGTGGGTGACGGCAGTTTCTTCGTGGCGCGATTTATATGTCCACCGAAGTCATGAGGTTCGAGCTGTTGTTCAGAACGACCAGTAGAGTAAAAAGTCATAAGCTTATCGCGGCAAAAAAAAAAAAAGTGAGATCACTATATTATTGTTAATCTGAACTCACCAACACCTCGCATGGCCGTACGTATGATCAACTGGTTCTACTTTCTCAGCTCAGATTGATTTCAAAATAAATCACAGCGCTCTCCAATTCATGTTCTTCTTTTTTTGGCGCACGTGTGTTTCGCTGCATGTTTGCATTCCTATGACATTACAAAATGGCTTCTTGAAAAAAAAAAAGAAAAGAACAACATGTTTTTCTTTTTTTTTAAGTCTGGTTGGGACACGCATGTCAAAAGATTAATTTTACGCGAAAAAGGAAATAGAGTCATGTTGACTGCGAGAGAATTATTTAAAATTCTGCTCGCGAAGTTCCTGACGTCACGGTTCATTCCGGAATGACCATCTCGGTCGTGAAGGCGAAGCCGATGCACCTCTTTTCCACGCGCCTGAAACGCCGAGAGAGAAAAGAAGTGGAAAGGAGGTGACTGCCGACAAAATCGCGTCTCGCGCCGTCAATGTTGCTCTAAATTTTTTTTTTTTTTTTTTTTTGCGAGAAAATTATTTTTTGACGCGCGTGTCTCTTTCCCCCCCCCCCCCCCCCCCCCCCCCCCGACTGTAAAAAAATATTGTTTTGAATCTTTTCGGGGGCCCTTTAAAGGGGGACTGTAACGATTTTAGGACTTTGGTCAAAATTTGGGAAAGTTGCTCTCTGACACTTCTAAAGTAAAAAGCAGAAAATCTATTTTGCCTTCGTCTCCAAGTTGTTATGCAAGAAAAAAAAAAGAATAAATATTGGCATTTCTGGCACCCCTCAACTCACTCGCAGACTTCACGGTTACGCATGGTCGCACTCCTGGCGACGTAATTCGGGGTGCCGTGTAGCTTCCCGTGTTCTTTTTTAGAGGACTCTTCCTCTCCCTCTTTCTGCTGACATTAGCCGGTGTTATGTTGCAGTTTAGAGCCGAGCGAGGTCGCGTAAGCTTCTTGCCGTAGCTCCTTCGCATGCCACTCGCGGCTGCAGGTGGGGGGAAAAGCTCGACTTTTTCATTGCGATTACACAGAGGAATCGTGACATGTTTTAATGAAAGAGATGTTTTTCTATCATCCGGGACACAATACACAACATAAAAACGACGAGATACAAATTATTTAAATCTTAAAATCGTTGCACCCCCCCCCCCCTCTTTAAAAGACGCCGGTGTCGCAAACTCGGGGCATCTCATGACTGCTCCAGAGTCAATGTGATTTAGCTGATAACAACGGGAAAGAATGAGTGCCTAATCAGAAGTGTAAACATGATTGGCGAGCAGCGCGTTCCCTAAGTGGTCAGCGACTATACAGGGTGTGCGCGTCACTTCCGGCCGCCATGACGAGAGGAGAGATATGCTTCCGGTTCTCCTATGCTTACCTTGTGTTTGGGTGGGTACGCGACCACTCTTGACTCCTTAGCGAGCGATTCCGTAAAAGCTACGCTCTAGGACTGTGCCAGTGTCGTGCTTTTAAGTTGGCGATGCGTACCGGTACAAACGAAATGTATCAAGTGAAGTTACTTCGATTATCTTAAGACGAGGGACGCTGTCGAGTCCGGTTGATCGCAGGACGACGGCATTGGTAGACGGTGCTAGCCTACTTCGTTCTGCTGTTGACAGACGGCGCAACGCGACAAACGCGAGAATGCGGCGCCAGCGCCTTGGCGGCGGCTACGGCGCCTCGGCCGACCATCTTCGTAGAACGATGGACCATAGTCGCACGTACGAATGCAATGTGCAGGACGCTCTGGGAAAAAAACCTTGAATACCGAAGCAAGCAAGTCAAAACACTCGAAAATTGTGCATTACAGAGGCGTCGCGCCAAAAAACGCGTAATGAAATCTTTCGGAATATTGTCTGCTAAAAACAAGACCCGACTCTGCGACCGTGCTCTGCGGGGAAGCTCGGCACGAATCTTCGTCGCGCGGAAAGGTAGGTGCCTATCGCCGATGCCTTACCGTTCAAGAAGTAATTTAACACGTTTAGGAACGTGTACCTTGGTTCTGAGTCGTTTGCGAATAAACAAGGCGAGTCGAATAGGTAGTCCCGAAGATGCGCCCACGATACCTTCGGCAGATTTGTCACTTTTCTGATGAACAAGCGCTCTACCTTCTCACCAATAGATCGAGGGCATGCGTATCCCGTATAAGTAAATTTCTGGAGGTAGTCTTTGGTGGTGACACTTTTAGAATATGCGTTACTCGCTGAGTGTGCTCAAACACAAACAAAAACAACAACCGCAAGTAACATACTTTCCATCGAGACAACTGCAAGAAACATACTTCACCTCAAGACGGCAAAACGTCTGGAGTTGATTGACTGATCGATCCTTCGGAAATTCTTATTGACATAATTAACGAAGTCAAAAAGGTTGCATTGTTGCCAACCTAACAGTCAATGAGTAACACTCTAAAATCTGAAGTAATCATGTGCATTTGCTGATCATGTACATCCACAAAGTTTAACAGCACCGTTTAGGATGTGCGTCACTGCAACCCACGATGCGTTAATGTTTGATTCACCATAAACACGAAGTTCTCGTTAAGGAATATTTTCAAAGCCGTACCGAAGTTTCGTACCATCATGCTGATCGGAACAAACGAGCTGTTGAGAAAAGTCGCTGAACATCTCCTCTTCCAGTGTATTGACCTACCAATCGCTGTTGTCAGTATTCGTAGCATGTTCGCACGTGCTCGCAGTGACATATTTCCTTCGTCTAACTTTATCGGGATTTTTAAGCGGAGAATGCGTGCGTCTCTTGTCCAAAAGTGCGTGGCGACGAGCACTCCCTCATAACTTGTTTTCTTGTTTCTACCGACGAGCAGTAGTTGCAGTAGCTAGTTCATGAAAGGCAACAATGACTTAGGCATTGTTTTGTATTCAAGATCTTTATTTCTGCCCGCCATTGAAGGTCACTTTCAGGTACGGATGACTATGAAGGGCACGAGTTTCGCCATCTTTGTTGAAATCTGGAAGACAATGTCGTACCGAGACCTTCCTGCAGCTCCAAAATACGCACTGCTGGAAGCGACAACACGTCGTCCACACTCCGCATTCCTTGAATGTAGTGGAAATGCGCGACAACTGCAGCGTAGTGTCGGCAAGGAGTCTTTGTTCTTATAACATCGTTGAAGTTGGTGAACTCGAAAAGGTGACGACCCAGTGGTCCAAGTCAGTAAAGCTCAAGAACCCATGCCTGCTGTTCCGGGTGGGGCAGGGCACGGAGCGTTGTACGAAGAACAAGGTTCCGAGCAATCAGAGCAACGTTGAGACAGGGTCATCCGCTACAGTGTACGGATTTGTGCTGTACAACCCGTTGGACACGCTCCGCCCTTCTCTACGTTCTTAGCCTCGATCCGCATCTCCGAGGTCCTGCATTGTGGCTTTCCGCTGGCCGGCCAGAATACAGTTATGGTTCGCATCTTCGAAGATGACGCCAGTTTGTTTGTCTGCAACTTTTACAGTTTCGAGGCTGATGGACAGCTGTTCTCGGAGTACGGCGCTCTCTCTCTGGAGCGTTTTCAAACACTATCAAGAGCCAGGCTTTGGAGTTTGAAAGATCCCCTCCCACTCTACCTGCGGAGAGCCAGGTCGTGAACGAGCTCTGAGTTCTTGGAGTGCTTTTCGCCTCTCGTGGAGTGATACCCGCACGTGCGAGTATGTGGCCTCCGCGCTTGAACGCCAGGTTGCTGTTGCGGGGACCTTTACGCTTTCTTTCCCCGACAGAGCTTACCTAGTAACGGCTGTTTTTCTGTGGAGAACTTTTCTACGTTTCTTACGTTGCACTTCCCCCTCCTTGGTTCCCTGGCGCGTAACCTTATGTCTCTTCCGGTTTTACTGGAGCGGGGGCACTGAGACAGTTAAAAGGTCGGTGCTCCTCCGCCTTCCCACGTCACTTGGCGGCAGGGGCATGCTCTGCATTGGCACGGTTTGCCGCCTGCTCTCTCTCCGCACTGTTCTCTAAGGTTTTAGATTACCCAGACCACCCAGCATAGTCCCTCGCTCTTTGTGCTTGTCCCTCGCGCGTTGGGCAACCTTTACTTGAGCGCAGAAGCAACGCCACCATATTACCAAGCGGTTGTGGCTTGCCATGTGGAGTTGAGACAGGCGTTACCAGACCTCGAAGTGCGCGAACTGCCACCAGCTCGCTTCGTCGAGGTACTTTGCATGACCCGGTTCACTTTTGAGCAGAGGGATCGGGCGAACGTCTTTCCGTGGACCTGGTTGGTTTCTCGTCGCCTTCCCGGACGTGTGGAGAATTCTAAATGGCGTCGGGGCTGGGGTGTTTTTGCAACAAGACAACGGCTCCAATGCTGGGCCATTGTTCCCGTACTGAAGTGCCCCAACTGTCGGAAGGTGAAGACGAACACATAAGCTTTCTCCGATTGTTCCGTTGCGACCACATTTTGGCACTTGGTGCGCCATGACTTCCGGGGTGTAGGCATCTGGAATTTTATAAGGGGTGATAGGTGCCCCCGTGGGGGTTCGCACTGCTCCTGTTGGCAGTCGGCCAAATGGTTCTCTGGCAGAATCGTTGTGCGGAAATTGGCCAGCAACGACGGTCTCGTGCAATGTGGCCCGTGCACTCTCGACTGCTGGGTACCCTGCTCCGCCACATAGACTCCGAGCTCTTTTGGTTCGGCGAGGAATAATTCCTCAGGCGGTGGTCTTGTCACTACGGTAGGATGGTCGGTGGTCTTATTCACTTGCTTTTCGCGCCTCTCGCACAGGTGTGAGAGGCGCGGGGGGGGGGGGGGGGGGGGGAGGGGGAAAGGATCGGACGTTGGTCAACCGAACACTATACCTGGATAGCATTGTTATTTAATAGGTAAAGGAGAGAACACTCCTTATGTGTGCTGAAGAGGTGTAAGGTGTGGCCATGTTTGCTTCGCCATGTTATGTCTGTTTGTTACTTCCGCCCCTGGATCTTTGTAGCGTACATGTTCCTGTTGTATACCCGTTTCCCGGTCTGATTTATGCCTTACGGTGTATAGTGTCAATAAAATTTTCTTCGTCAGCCAATCGCCTTGCGAGGTTTTGGTCGTCTGTATCCGTTTATGTCCGGCTGGAAGACATAAAAGACAATGGCGCTGTTTTCCAAGAATCCAGTGACTTTTGC